GGGGGGGGGGAGTGGCTTGCAACTAGAGAAAAAGGGAAAGAAAATGTCAGAAACACAGAATATGGAAGCCTTTTTGCTGTACGAAGTGGAGAAGTCTGATGAGGCAGAGTGGTGAGAGATAATAGGAGCGCGGAGAGCATTGAAGGACCACACCCTGGACTGGACGACAGCAAAACTGTACACTTGAGGGCAAGGGTGTAAGATCCTGAAATAAATCCTCTGCTTGAGTGAGGCAACAGGATCCCTAATCACAGGGTGGCATTGTTGCGACTTGAAAGTGCACGACGAAGGAACCAATACGCTCTACTAACCGCTGCAACCGCTGCAATCGTCAGCGTCTCTCTCGTTTCGCGTCTTCGCGCAGCGCCGCCTCTTCGTCGCACCGCGTTCGACCCCACAAGAAAAATTTCTGTGGAACCTTTCCCTTGAATTCAGAGAAAAAGCCAGAACCCAAGTACCAAAGAGTTTCGAGTATAAACGCAGACCTAGTCCCCTTGACACTGCACGATATAAAAGAACGCTCCAGCAGCGCTTCTTGCACAAAGTCTACACTATATCATATATAATATTTATTGAAGATCACTTTAGACTTTGTCTTATAAAGGTCATATCACGTCTTCAAACAAAACAATCTCTGAACAAACTTCGAGAAATAACTTCAGCTCATAGCGGACCAAATTCTTCCGACCAATGGTCCGGAATTGTTGGCGGATGGATGAGGCTCCAAAATTGAGAAAGTAGAAAATGAGCAAAGGAAAATATTGTATAAACATTGTTACAAACGAGAACATGAGCCAGAAGATCGATCAAATCGTCTTTCGCTCCAATCAAGCATTGTTAGTTTTTTAGAGAAGAGCTCAGATTGAATACCAATATACATACACAAAAAATAAGCGAAATAGAGAGAGTATTTCAGAACAAAAACAAGCCGAAGACACAGAATCAGAAATGGATCGAAGCTACCCGTAGTCGACGAAGAGACAGTGGTGGTGACAGTCGTGCAACGATACAAACATAAAATACCCGTGACAATTGCACTGGACTGGTGCAACAAAACAGGTGATGAGAACAGAGGCTACTGGGAGTTATGTGCAACAGGGGGAGAGGGACCGGGTGCATGGCGGCACCTTCTACGCTGACGGATACTGCTCGTACGATGAAAGGAATTCCAAGGCGGCAAGATAGAGGAAGTGGTATTGTTCTGTGTCTTGTACCATGTTCTGGCGCTCAGTTCGTAACAACTTCACCTAAAAACACAGTCACATAGAGAATGTTAGTGGAAACGACTGCAGCTGTCAAAGCACAAACTAGAGCAGCTCCAAAATGTATAGTAGAAGAAGATTCGAAGCCCACTCACCGTTGTAAACACATCAACAACATGCTCCAATCGCATCCGATCGATGATGATCGACAACGCGATGAATACACCAGTACGACCAGCTCCCGATGAGCAATGGATCACAATCGGGCCATCTACTCCGAATTGAGTTTTGGTACGATGCACCTAGAACCACAAAGTATGAAGTACTCTCTTCGACTACAACCACCAGATTCCTTCGCGTAGCGGCGCATTTTTGCTCTAGTCTGCCTCATCGGTGGGACCGAGGTCAGTCATAGCCAAGCCCGAAGTGGGCATCGCATCTGCAATTTTTGGGAGGGGGTCTATTCGAGCTTACAAAGGTTCCTAGATTTGAAGGTCGTATTTGCATACGCTGAGGGGACAGTAGTTGCGGCGAAAGATGAGTGGAGGGTTCGACGGTTCTGGGAAAAACTTAGGGAAGTGTGTGAAGCAGGTCCCGCTCCCATCAGCCCGCTCACCATGTAAAAGCACCCAGTAAAAAGATTACTAAAAGGCACAAACTATCAAATAAATATAATTGACAGGAAAGTCCTAATTCATCCTCAAATCATACGAGTAAAGTGAAAACCGAGAATCCTGTGAAAAATACGGGGTAGACGTCTGAGAGGAGGCGAATGAATCATAGTAGTCTAGCTTTTCAACCAGACTATGAATACGCTCCATTTTAATCTAACGCTTCCCATACTGTGATAGCCGATGGTTAACTTTCAGTTTCTAAAGGTATGGCACCTATTTCCTCAGGGTTCAGGCGACTGTACCTGAAGTGGG